TGGCTATATCACTGGACTCCCATGTAGCTGACTGTGGTTCGCGTCCTGGACCTGGTGGCTTAAACTCACGCCGGGCGCGTGTGCGTGCGTGCCCAAGATCCCGAGAGGAGAATGGAGGAGAAGGGATTGCGGCGTGACCATCCCCCCTGGGGGGTGATTTCTCGCTTTCTGTCTCTCTGTCTCTCTCTGTCTTTCTGGCGAGCGCACGAGCCCTATAGCAAAAACCTCTTTAAAAAAAAAGAAAAAAAAGAATGGAGCTTACGATAACAGACCTCAGTATATTCTGGATCTAAATGTGACCTAACCGATTTTGCTATTTTAACCAAGCACGCTGCCTTTGGTAACTGACCCACTTGGAATTAGAAGGCCTTAAATTCACCCTGTGGCTTTTCGGGTGCTCGACTGTCGAACCTGCTCTTGGAGCCAGGTGGTGACACAGCAGCAACCCGAGAGCACCCACATGGGACGGCTCTGGGTTTGTGTCCTGGGTCTCCCTCGAACACGCACACACACCCATGACGGAGGCTGGCTGAGGCCGGCAGTGGGTCACAGAGTGAAGACCCTGTCAGAGTGCCTGTCTCTGTCTCTCTCGTGGAGGAGACAAATCAATCACTACATTCTGAGCGATTTTTGCTCTCGGGGGCATGAGCTTGCTGGAGAGACAGAAAGTGAGAAATCATCCCTGGTGGGGGGGGATAGCCACACTGCAATCGCTTCTCCTCCCTTCTCCTCTCGGAATTTTGGGTGTGCGCATGCACCCAGCATGAGTTTCAAGCCACCCAGTCCAGGAATCGAACTGCGGTCGGACACGTGGGAGCCCAGTGCCTTAACCAGCACGCCACCTGCTGGCCGTTCAATATGCATTTTTAAAGATCCGCTCTTATGTCCACTCTACAAAGACTCCGGCTCTTCTGGGTTCGACTTTCCGTCTGACCTCCATTCGTTCCAAGCGACTCAGGAGAAGCAGAGGGGCTTTCTCAAGAGCACGCTGCCCGTCATGATGATGCAACCTCATTCTGGGGGCCCCCTGGGCCGCCGGCACCCCAGTCAGTCAAGCCCTGACAGGCGCTGCTGGGACTGTCCCTCTGGGCCGCTCGGTAAACACGCACCTCCTTGATGTGGAACCAGACACGGCTCCTCACAGCAATCGGGTTCTGAGCCCGTGCAAAGAGACGCAGAGAGCCAGAGGCCCGTGAGAAAGCCCGCGATGGTTCCCGCCATCGGCATGCAAGGTGGCGGGGCAGCTGGGGGAAGGGGGAGTGGGGAGGCCCGACACATGGGCAGCGGCCCAATGCAGGGGTGCCCAGCCTTCACGGCACTGGGGACGGGAGGTGGAGGGGTGGGTACAGCGGCAGGGACGGCCCCGGGATGACCCGAGCGCACACATCCACTGAGCACCCCACCTCCACCCCACCACGCTGCAGTATACGGTGAAACAGCCACACGACGACGACAGGGGCCGCGCTCCCAGGAGAATCTACACTGCCACGGCCCCGGGGGATCCCAACGGGAGGCGGAGCCTGGCTGCCACATGAGTGACAGGGCATGGACACTCGCTCACCCTCGCCCACCCCCATGCTGTGCAGCCCAGGCCACAGGATGGCACTAGTCCGAAGCCTGGTGGCCGGGGGCTCCTGCCCTAACACGCTAGAACCCGCAGCCTCCAAGGCGGCCCATCTGCAGAGGCCGCTGAGCCCAGCATCACAGCAGGCCGTCGACAGGGACAGAGGGACATGCTAAACCACCCTCCCAGACGCCCTCAGACGGCCCGGGCACAGCCAGCAAAACGCTGAGTCTGGCGAAGCCGGCGGCGTCTCTGCACAGCCACGCCTGCTCAGCCTTCACCCCGAGAGACCAGACCCACGCTCCACAGACGGAGGAGGGTGGTCAGAACAGCGCGGCCGGCCCACGCCAGCCAGGAGAGGCCCCGAGGCCCCTGCCCTGCCGCTGGGCCTGGCTTTTGGAAACACGTGGAGCATGACTTCTGGGAAGGCCAGGGACACGCCTGCTCTCAGCACGTGACGACCACCGAAAAGCCATGGAAAGGATCTTTAGAATGTTAAAACATCTTGGGCTGGCCCTGTGGCCTGATGGGTAAAGGAGGTGGATCCCACACGGCTGACTGCATGGTTCAAATCCCAGTCCGGGAGCTTGAGGAACATGGCGGACACATGGGCATGCATGCCCCAAATTCCTGGACAAATGGAGAAGGGACTGCCGTGTGGCCACGCCCCATGGAGAGGTACTCTCTCCCTCTCGCTATCTCTGTCTCTCTGTCTCTCTCTGGTGAGTGTACATGACCTCTGGCAGGTGTTTTTTTGTTTTTTTTTTTAATTGGTGTCATGGGACCAGTCCTATCGGGCAGCAAGACAGCCCTGTGTTTTGGGAGTCAATGGCTGACCATGGTTCAAATCCTTACCCCAGAGGCTTGGGAAACATACGAGGTATACGTGTCTAAGTGCCCTAAATCCTCAGGGGCTGGAGAAAAGGAGTGAAAAAGATGGCAACATGATCATGCGCCATCCGGGGTTTCCTCTCTTTCTGTTTAGTGAGTTCTAAGCCACCGGGTCCAGGACGCGAACTGCGGTCGACTACGTGGGAGTCCAGCAACATAGCCATTACGCTAACTGCTGGTTCCCAGATCATTTATTTTTTATGAGAGATTTTTGCTATAAGGCACCTGTGCTCATGGGAGAGACAGAGAGACAGAAAGCAAGAAATCACCCCCCAGGGAGGACGGAGGCCATGCCGCAATCCCTTCTCCTCCATTCTCCTCTCGGGATCTTGGGCACACACGCACACATGCGTGGCGTGAGTTTTAAGTCGCCGGGTCCGGGACTAGAACTGCGGTCGACTACATGGGAGTCCAGGGACATAGCCATGACGCCATGTGCGTGTCCCCCCCAGGCGTCGTTTTTACATAGTACAACACAGCTAGCTTGCGTGCACGCATACCTATGTCAGCATTATTCACACTCGCCAGACGTGGAAGCTACCCAAGTGTCTGTCACCAGATGAACGGATAAACACAACGATTCCACCTTCAAAGGAAGGAAATCGCGACATCTGCTCCAATAGGGATGGGCCCTGAGCACGGTCTGCCCCGTGAAAGAAATCGGCCGAACGACGACAGGGCAGGTGCTGCCTGGTTCCCCACGCACGAGGTACTCAGAGTCATCGCGTGCAGGGACAGAGCAGAAGGGTGGTCGCCAGGGCCTGAGCTGAGGGGGGACGGGCAGCTAGAGCTGCACAGGGCCAGGGGTTCAGGGGTTCAGGGCTTCGGTCTAGGATGAAGAAAGTTTCAGAGACTGATGATGGTGGAGGTTGCCCAACAATGCGTGGGTCCTTAACGCTCCGAACGGTGCATGCGAACGTGTTAGACCGGCCACAGTGACACAGGTGGGAGGGTGCCTCTGTGCATGCATCGCATCCTGGACCGACCCGAGCCGGCCAGGCCCAGTGGTGTGTGTCTGTGACCCTGGGTAACCGAGAGGTGAGAGCCTGTCCCGAACAACCCCTTCATTCTCTTCCTTCCATCTTGCTCATTAAAAAAAATAAACTTGGGACCAGCAGTTAGCGTAACGGCTATGTCAGTGAACTCCCATGTAGCCGACCACGGTTCAAGTCCCGGACCCGATGGCTTAAACTCACGCCGGGCGTGTCTGGCGGCGGTGTACATGGGAGTCCAGGGACATAGCCATGACGCCATGTGCGTGTCCCCCCCAGGCGTCGTTTTTACATAGTACAACACAGCTAGCTTGCGTGCACGCATACCTATGTCAGCATTATTCACACTCGCCAGACGTGGAAGCTACCCAAGTGTCTGTCACCAGATGAACGGATAAACACAACGATTCCACCTTCAAAGGAAGGAAATCGCGACATCTGCTCCAATAGGGATGGGCCCTGAGCACGGTCTGCCCCGTGAAAGAAATCGGCCGAACGACGACAGGGCAGGTGCTGCCTGGTTCCCCACGCACGAGGTACTCAGAGTCATCGCGTGCAGGGACAGAGCAGAAGGGTGGTCGCCAGGGCCTGAGCTGAGGGGGGACGGGCAGCTAGAGCTGCACAGGGCCAGGGGTTCAGGGGTTCAGGGCTTCGGTCTAGGATGAAGAAAGTTTCAGAGACTGATGATGGTGGAGGTTGCCCAACAATGCGTGGGTCCTTAACGCTCCGAACGGTGCATGCGAACGTGTTAGACCGGCCACAGTGACACAGGTGGGAGGGTGCCTCTGTGCATGCATCGCATCCTGGACCGACCCGAGCCGGCCAGGCCCAGTGGTGTGTGTCTGTGACCCTGGGTAACCGAGAGGTGAGAGCCTGTCCCGAACAACCCCTTCATTCTCTTCCTTCCATCTTGCTCATTAAAAAAAATAAACTTGGGACCAGCAGTTAGCGTAACGGCTATGTCAGTGAACTCCCATGTAGCCGACCACGGTTCAAGTCCCGGACCCGATGGCTTAAACTCACGCCGGGCGTGTGTGCGTGCGTGCCCAAGATCCCGAGAGGAGAATGGAGGAGAAGGGATTGCGGCGTGACCATCGCCCCTGGGTGGGTGATTTCTCACTTTCTGTTTCTCTGTCTTTCTGGTGAGCGCACGCACCCTATAGCAAAAAGCTCTCCAAAAAAAAAAAAAAAAAAAGAGATGCTGGAATTTATGCATTTATGCTCCAACAACACCTCAATACTGAATAAATAACCCGCCAAGAGACAGGGAAGGCTGGAAGGACCGGCCAGTCGTTCCCCAATGGTGACCCCTGGCTGACATCCAGGTCTTTTGGTTGTGCTTCTCCAGAGCAGCACACGGCGCTGGAGAAAAATGGGGCACAGTGTGCCGGGGACAGCCAGGTGAGCACGGCCAGGTGGAGGTGCATCCCCACAGCCTTCCTGACAACCCGAGAGGCAGCACCGGACCCCTGCTAGCCAGCAGAGCAGGAGGCCCAGGAGGTGACGGGGCATGCGGGGGGACCAGGGGCGAGTGCGTGCCCACGCAGACTTACCGATGGCCCACAGGACGGTGTCGAAGGTGCCCGTGTCCTCCTTGCCAGCGGCGTGGTCCTGCCAGGCCACCTGGAGCCGGCCGTCTGCAAGCTTCCTAACTCGGGAGGGCGTGCAGCGCCTCAGGAACCGCGTGCCGTGAGACGCCATGGACTCCGTGACCAACGATGACATTTGCTGCGAATGAGAGGACACGCCTTGAGGTCCAGTGGCAGTGACAGCCATGGGAGAAAGGACCCGGCCCTGTCCTTCGAAACGGGCGGTGGTAGCCCACGAGGGGTCTGTCCAGGCTCCACATACTTGAACCCCACCCACGTCAGGATGCGCTGGCCGGCAAGCTCCCCTCGAGCTGCTCATTGACTAAGTCTTCACCCCCTTCTCTGGGGGCCTGGCTCAGTCACGTGGTTGGTCCCCGCTCCCCCGCCACCGCCCCCCCGTCCAGCTGGCCAGCCTGCCTGTCGCCCATTCGGGAGCTGAGACTGTGGACAGGACACACTGCACCTACCAATATCCACAGGGCAGTGAGCCCTGGCACTGCTGGGGCAGAGAGGGCACCGCCCCTCCCTGCCAGCCCGGGAAGCCCAGTGGGAGCCCCGTGCAGGCTGCAGAGGGGGCTGCTTCCCGGATGCTGCAGGGGCTGGACATCCCAGTGGTCAGGGGACCATAGTCTCTTCTCTCCAGGGGAATTAACCATTGCTGTTCACACCCTCCGAGGCCCTCTGACCTCTGCGCAGGTGAGCGGCTTATTCTGGACTGTGTGTGAGAAGCCCCGCCCCTCGGGGTGACCACCCGGTTACTTGAGCAGAGGGACAAGTGTGCGAGTGCCAGCCCCTCCTGCGTCCCTCTGGGTCTCTAGGGGAACTCGTGGGCCCGCACGGCACAGGGACCTACGCCCTTGGGCTGTCCACTGGGACTGAGCATCCTTCCTCCTCCCAGCACACAGCCACCCTGGTGCGGCCCTGACCCCCACGGTCCTCCCTGTCCCCCAGGCCTCGTCTTCACCTCCTTCCCGCTGAGCACCTGCTCTCCCCACTCACCCGCCCCACGCGTGGGCGCAGAGGCCTCCCCAGATGCTGCGGCCCCGTTGCGGGGGCTCCGTATGCACTGAGGAGAAGACACACGTGTCCCACGGCTTTGGGGTGGGCACACACAGAGAGGGGTGCCTCCACATTAGCTCAGAAAGGGGTGTGGGTGGTGGGCGGGGACCTGGAGACTGCAGGCCTGACCCCTGCCTTCCGCAACCTCCCCAGCCCTCTGTGGGCTGAGGGTCAACGGTGGGCGCGGGCAGGGCCGTAGCTGCGTGCAGCTCTGCCACCTGGCGACTGCTCAGTGACTGACGTCTGAGGGTGACAACCCCGGGTTTGATTTTAACAGCTGTTTCCTCGAAGAGTACTTAGTTAATAGAAGAAACAACAGACCCAGTGGCTGGGGCATGGTGGGAACAGCCCTGCTCAGCCTGGAAGCCACCTGGCCTGAGGGGCGCCAGGATCCTGGGGGGCTGGCGGGCAGGGGAAGGGGGACGCCCTGTCGGGGAGCCTCTTTCTCTTGCACATGCACACCCTCGGTAATGAGAGGGAGGAAGGGGAGGAGGAGGAAGAGAGAGAAAAGAAAGGAGGGAGACTGGGCGGGCCCTCCACGGCACACACTGCTCAGAAGCGGGGTCCCCCTAAGCTGGGACCTCCTGGGGGGCCCGGGATTGGTCTCCGACCCAACCTAAAGGCCAGAGAGTGGCCTCTGCGTGGGATCCCAGCTGCCTGAGAGGTGAGACAGGAGGATGCTGATGGAGAGACTTTATCTAAGGCAAAGAAAAAAGAAAAATCCCCACTGCTCCAGTCACAAGAGCTCGCCTGCTGTCCACCTGGGCATCTGCATCCTGGACACGGTGGAGACTGCGGTGCCCCACGTCTGCATAGATGCTGCACGGGGGGGGGGGGGGCCCCGGGCCCGCCTCCCAGCGCCGCCGTCCG